ATGACAAAAAATACCGAGTCACTAAATGACAAGCTGCAGTTGGTGCGCTTCTGCATAACAGGTTTGGAAAAGTTCAAACGTCTATCAGACGAAGAAGTTGTCATGGAATTCCGTAATTGTCATCAGAAGCTTCAGCATGTTAAAAATTCTGTTATAGAATCTGTTTGTATGAACATGGAAGCGCTTGTTTGTGATGAACTAAGAACACTAAAGACGGTTTCGAAGTTTGCGTTTTTAAATTTGATTGAGAAGGTTGAAAGTAGTTATAAAAAGGTGAAATTTGATCTAAAAAAATTGGAATTATCTCATGAGGTAACTGTACAAGATGCAGGAATTCGAGGTATGATTTTTCTCTCCAGTGAAAGTGTCTTATTGGCGAGTCGAACCGGTCCAAAGAGAATTTTGGTGTATTCTGTCAAAGAATTGAAATTTGAACATGAAGTGCAAACTGGAGATTTCATTCCTTTTGACGTAAGATTGATTGGTAAACTTCTGTATGTATCCAGTGAATTTAGTGACGTCATCCAAGTCCTTCGAATAGATGATAATTATAGTGAAGTATTTTCTTTCTCTGTTGGAAAACAATGTTTTGGAATGGACGTATATGACGACCACATTTACATAGCATGTCTCTCCGCAATCATTAAAGTAGACATGAAAGGAAACAGGATTGGTGAATACCCTACATCAGGAGATGCTAAATACGTTGTTGTCAAGAAAAATGGGCATATTGTATATAGCAGTCAAAGTAATAACACGGTCACCGCTATTTCTGTGCAAGGTGATGAAGTCTGGTCATACAGCAGTCCAAATCTGAAGTATCCTTACGGACTGGAGAAAGATTCATCTGATAATATATACGTGACAGGTGCTCATAGTAACGATGTACACATACTGTCCATAGACGGCAATCTACTCAGGAGATTTATCAATTTGACGAACCCAGTATTATTTAGACTAAACGAAGAGCAAAATATTGTTTTTGTATGCTGCGAAGGGAATAATATCAAAATTTTTGATGTAAACTCATGAGACCTCTTCAAAAATAAAGTCAGGTGATTAAAAAAAAAACGTGTATCAAGGACTTTTTTAAGAGTTTGAATCGAAACTCCTTAATTGTCTTCCACAACTTTTATGGGTTTTTTTTAATAATTATGAAAACATGTGGAGATAACGAACAGTATCCAAGATCAAAAGTCCATAAAACAATACAAAACAGGAGCAAAACTACTACGGACCTCCAAAACATCAGGGGGGGGGGGCGGCAGGCTCCATGGAGGAGCAAGCATTCCCTGCTGATCGGTCACATCCTTGTCATGATCGGAAAATAATGGGAAAATCCGTCGTCATTTCAGTGTATAAATAATGGACAAACAATTAGTATGAAGAATGTCAGTCAGCATTTGACTCAATGATAAATTGTATTTGCTGACAAGGTCATTGTATCGACCATAGAACTTACGAAATGACGACTTTAAACGAGACTGCTGATATTCTTGTTTCATCAACTTGTTTGTCAATAATTTACCTCGTTTTAGAAATTATTCATACATAGAGCATGTTCTTGCGTATCGAATCAACTGAGATAGATAAATTTCATATGCTGATAATGCAGGTGATGGTTCCAGTAAATGTTCAACCAAGCATCTTTCTTTGTGTATAAAAAAGGCAAAAACCATCACGTTGGAAGACGTCACGGAGAAATAAAATTTAGTTTTGCATTTGAGAAACCTCTACTACAAACTTTGAAATTTTACATAAACCAGGAAATATTTGAAAAATAAGCAACGGTTTGGTATAAAATGGAAAACGCAATATTTTGAGTAATTAAGATTTGGAATCGGAAGATATATGGTCTGCAAAGAAACAGGTCATAGTTAAAAATTTTGTGAAAAGGGTTAGGAACGCCTTGGAACGTTTTTTTGTTTTGTTTTTTTTACGAATGGGGAATACGTACAAACTGTGTATGAAATTAAAAGGCAGAGTAATTTTGAGAAACTATATTGACGTTTTATTTGACTTTACAATGTTGGTTAACCTGTAGGTTTCAAAACATATTGATTTGAAAATTTGCTAACGTGAGTTCTAATTACTCAAATGGTATAAAATTTCACAATTCGACAGAATAAATGTTTTATTTAAAAAAGTGATAATAATATAACGATGGGAAGCATTGTCTAGTAGACTTATTTTTCGAATGGCCCTCTAATTCATCCCCTGCATACGGAGTATATATATCTCAGTTGGTTGGATACGCAAAGCATGCTCTACGTATGAACATTTTCTTAAACGAGGAAACAATTAAAAAAAAAGTTGATGAAATAAGAAAACCAGCAGTCTCGTTTAAAGTCATCATTTGTAAATTTATGGTCGTTACAATGACCAATTTATCGTTAGTCAAATGCTGACTTGTGTTTTTCATACTAATTGTTCATTATTATTTATACACTGAGTTGACGAAGGATTTTTCCGTTGTTTCCCGATCATGACAAGGAGCATACTGCGGGTGTGACCTGTCGGCAGGGATGCTCCTTCCCAACCCATCCCACTTCTGATGTTTTGGAGGTCCATATTTGCTTTGCTCCTATTTTGTACTGCTATATGTACTTTTGATCTTGAATACTATTCGCTACCTCTATATAATTCAAACTACACTCGTTCCCATTGAAAAGTTAAAATGGTTAAGGAAAAGGTTAAGGAAAATCTATATTTGGACTTCCCCTGCCGATGGTACACTGCCGTGTTCCCCTGCCATATCGGGAAATAACGGAAAAAGCCGTCGACAGATCAGTTTATAAATAATGGACTAACAATTAATATGAAAAAGCCAGTCAGCATTTGACTGAATGAATGATAAATTGTATTTGTCGACAAGGTCATTGAAATAAACTTTCGAAATAGACTTAAAACGGGCTGTATCTTTTTATTTCATCAACTTGTTTGTTAATAATGTACCTTGTTTTAAAAATTAATAATACGTAGAGCATGCTCTTTGGATCGAATCACTAGATATATCTCCTATGCAGGTGATGAAGGTATATTGCTCATAAGTAAGGAATTACATATAAATGTTTGCCATTAACTTTTTTCAATAAATTATTAGAGTATGACACAGATTTTCAGACTCTGTCATGAAGACCTAACTCTTGATTTACATAGATAAGTAATTAAAAACTAAATATTGAAGACCTTAAGTTAAATCATTAATTTTAAAAAGACCAAAGTTAAAGGAACCACGATCTTTTAAATGGGGTCATAATTTTATAAACATGATTTCTGTGAATTTGACACGTTGTCAAAATGGATTATAAATGCATCAGATGTACAAATGTATGTTAAAATCTTCGAGATTGAGTAGCAAAACGAAAACCAACAGTTTCCTTCTGTGTTAAGATAATTTCAAAGTGAAAAAAGAATTGGGTAGCATCAATATATACTGGTCCCTGCTGACAAAGCAAGTAACAATATTTTCTTTGTAGGCTAATTATTTAAATTATACCCGCACTTTAGAAAGAAAATTCGGCTGTATTGTTCTATTCATGTCCGTCCGTCCGTCCGTCTGCACACTTTTCTTCCCTGAACTCCTCCTACATTTTTCACAGTAGCTTAATCATCCTTTGGGAGATGGTTGGGGGTGTCATGTAGATGTGCAGTAAGGTTTCGGAATTTTGATTTGCCCCGGGGGATCAAATGGGGGTCGAAAAATGACGTTTTTTATACAAAAAGCCCCTTCTTCCCTGAACTCCTTCTACATTTTACTCAGCAGCCTAATCATCTTTTGAGAGATGGTTGGTGGTGTCATGTAGATGTGCAGTAAGGTTTCGGAATTTTGATTTTGCACCGGTGTTTCATTCGGGGTTAAAATAATTACGTTTTTTATACAAAAAGCCCCTTCTTCCCTGAACTCCTTCTACATTTTACTCAGCAGCCTAATCATCTTTTGAGAGATGGTTGGTGGTGTCATGTAGATGTGCAGTAAGGTTTCGGAATTTTGATTTTGCCCCGGGGGATCAAATGGGGGTCGAAAAATGACGTTTTTTTATACAAAAAGCCCCTTCTTCCCTGAACTCCTTCTACATTTTACTCAGCAGCCTAATCATCTTTTGAGAGATGGTTGGTGGTGTCATGTAGATGTGCAGTAAGGTTTCGGAATTTTGATTTTGCCCCGGGGTATCAAATGGGGGTCGAAAAATGATGTTTTTTATACAAAAAGCCCCTTCTTCCCTGAACTCCTTCTACATTTTACTCAGCAGCCTAATCATCTTTTGAGAGATGGTTGGTGGTGTCATGTAGATGTGCAGTAAGGTTTTGGAATTTTGATTTTGCCCCAGGGGATCAAATGGGGGTCGAAAAATGACGTTTTTTATGCAAAAAGCCCCTTCTTCTCTGAACTCCTTCTATATTTTACTCAGCAGCCTAATCATCTTTTGAAGAGATGGTTGATGGTGTCATGTAGATGTGCAGTAAGGTTTCGGAATTTTGATTTTGCCCCGGGGATCAAATGAGATTCTAAAAATGACGTTTTTTTTACAAAAAGCCCCTTCTTCCCTGAACTCCTTCTACATTTTACTCAGCAGCCTTATCATATTTTAAGAGATGGTTGGTGGTGTCATGTAGATGTGCAGTAAGGTTTCGGAATTTTCATTTTGCCCGGGGGGTGGGGGGGATGGGGATCAAATCGAGGTAGAATTTTTATATATTTTTTTTTACATATATTTGACATGTTTAATCACTCTGCTTTCAAGAACTTCCCTAATATCTTATGCTGCAATAGCTTTAAACCATGATCATTTAGAAAATGATTGGTTTGTTTTGTGTATGTGTAAAATGGTTTCAAAATTTGAATTTTCATATGGATGGCAAAAAGGGGCTGGAATAATATTGCACCTCCCTAACCCTGGTGGTCATGATTTGTACAAACTTGAATCTACACCTCTTGAGAATATTTCCATATTAATCACGCTCTTGGTGTTCTTGAATTGAAAAGAAGAATTTAAAAGATCTGTTTCCTTTTATTCCTAAATAAAACTTTGATCCCTAATTGTGGCCTGACCCTAGCCTGAGGTGATGATTTGATAAACTAGAAATATGTTTATAGCCTATAGGACATGAATGTCCCGCCAGATGTGTATTACTAATGGTACATTAAACAAGAGGCCCATGGGCCACATCGCTCACCTGAGTACTGAAGCTAAGAAAAAGTAGAAATTGGTTTATAATTGAAAAGTTAAAATCCAAAAGTAATCCCATGATCAATCATGGATTTGCTTTTCTTCAAAGAATTTTCCATACATTTCTATGTAAAACTTTGGTCGGCCATTTTGGCCCCGCCCTACCCCCTGGGGTCATGATTTGTACAAATTTTTGAATCTACACTACCTGAAGATGCTTAGATTTAAATATGATGAATTATGGATTTGTCATTCTTGAGAAGAAGATTTTAAAGAATTTTCCTATATATTTCTATGTAAAACTTTGGTCGGCCATTTTGGCCCCGCCCTAACCCCCGGGGTCATGATTTGAACAAACTTGAATCTTCACTACCTGAGGATGTTTCCATAAATTTGATGAATTATGGCTTTGTCATTCTTGAGAAGAAGATTTTTAAAGAATTTTCCTATATATTTCTATGTAAAACTTTGATCAGCCTATTTGGCCCTGCCCTACCCCCGGGGGTCATGATTTGAACAAATTTGAATCTACACTATCTGAGGATGTTACTCCATAAGTTTCATCTTTCCTGGCACAGTGGTTCTTGAGAAGAAGATTTTTAAAGATTTGTCCAATATATTTCTATATAAAACTTTAGTCGGCCATTTTGGCCCTGCCCTACCCCCGGGGGTCATGATTTGAACACATTTGAATATTCACTACCTGAGGATGTTAACCCATAAGTTTCATCTTTCCTGGCATAGTGGTTCTTGAGAAGAAGAATTTTAAAACATGCCACCAAATTTTCATTAATTCCCAATTATCTCCCCTTGAATGAGGGCATGGCCCTTCATTCGAAAAAACTTGAATCCCCTTCACCC